AATTCTTCTTAGGAATTCAATTATTTAAAAATATCTTGATAAAATTCTTTATGAGAATTGAATTTTAAGAAACATTCAAATATTCAATAAATTAATGTTTTCGTATTTTAAATAATTGAATTTTAGTAGAGATTTCTAATAAAAATTAATAGAAAAATAAATTTTAGTTAAAATTTTAGATAATAATTGAATATAGCGTGAATTTTTAGAAATAATTGAATTTTAAAATTAATTTTATTGAAAAAGTATAATTGAATTTTTTTATATTATTAAAAGTTTTTATTTTTTTAATATATATTTAATTGTAGAATTTACGAATAATTGAAAATTAGTAAAATTGAACATTGTAAATAAATGAATTTTAAAAATTGTCGAAGACTCGGAGTGATTGATTTCTTCATGTTTTTCAATTATGGAAAAATTTAATTTATACTTTTAACTAAATATTTTCTTATTTGACTCGGACTGCTTATATTTTTGTTAGTAATATTTGATCCGTAAATGGTCCGTAAGTTTTAATTTTTGGTCCGTGAACTCCGTATTTTTAAATTTAAATAGTTTCACTGGTTCAAGCCCTATTACTAAGTTTAATGAATTTTATATATTTAAATGATATAAACAATTTTTGCCTAAAATTTGCCATAAAAATTTATGACAGCTGGGAAAAAACAAAATAAATTAAAAAACAGTGTGTTAGAAAAATTAGGTCAAGTATTTTTCGATCTGGTTTTAATTATAAAGTGTGGTAATTTTTATGAAAAAAAAAAAATTTTTTTAAAGGAAGGACAAAGACAATAATAAAACAACCTTCCGTTTATTCCTAAAGGTTCAATGTCGGGGTTAATTCTTTAATTAATGTGATTATCAATATGCAACTCAAAATATATATATGTATATATGTATATGCTACACTGAGATTAATTATACTTGGGTGAACCGGATGTCATGCAGGCGTATTTCTCATCAGGTTTATGCTCGAGGTCTATTGAACATATTATGATGGACAGTACTACGTTTAATCGAATTTTCAAAAATTACACGGAGAGAAATTTATAGTAGTGGGTAACATAATTGTGGTTAGGGTGACCATCTTTAATGCTACGTATACAGACAGCTATCTAGATAGTCACCGTTACCATCAATATCATCAGGAGTAACATCTTGGTAGTACGGGGTAGCATAACTATATTTTTTTTAGCATCTGGGATGGTTGGGAGTAGCATAATGATAGTATCGTGTAACATCATCTTTTTAACATCAAAATCTGACTATCCATTTCTCTCAGTGTAATTATAACCACTTAAATTATTAGTCATCTTTAATTTACAATGTTATGTAATATAATCTGATTCGTATATTTTAATAAAGAGAGAAAAAAAATTATGTCAGGTGAAATAAATTTTAAATCAATAATACCAGGTTGCAAAAAATTGAAAATCAATATTATACTATATTTCAGAAAGAGAGAGAAAGAAAAATTAAATTTTTTTTTTTAACTTGTATGGATTTTTTTTAAATAAAAAATGTATGTAAAAAAAATGTATGTTGTTTGTATACAAGTTAAAAAAAAGTTTTAATTTTTCTTTCTTTCTTTTTCAAATAAAAATGCATTATTTGTTTGCTATTTTTTTTGTCACTCATATAGTGTAACAATATTTATAATGCAAAGTTTCTCAAAAAGTAAAATAAAAATAAAAATTAAGTGAAAAGAAAAAAAAATTTGAGTGAAAATAAAATAAAGAATAAAAAAAAAATTCAAAAAAGGTAAAATAAAAAAAATTAAGAGTTAAAAAAATTAAAAAAAATAATATAAAATAATTGAATAATATTTAGAGAAAATTATGCAAATTATTCCATAATATATAAAGCAAGTGCTTTCAATTTAAGCCGTTGGATGAAATTTTCGTCTGACCATACGCTGACCTTTACTACTGCGTCTAACCAGTATTAAGTAATTTGCCAAACGTACCGTTCGTTGACTTTGCAACAGGTTTTCTTAATTAGAAATAAAATTTGGAAACATACTCATTTTCTTTTTTTTTTTTTTTAAATATTAAAATTATTTTTGAATAGCCCCATTATTTTTTAGCGTTTTTAATTAATAAATTTTAAGTAACTAGAAACTTTTTTTGTTTATAAAAAAACAATATTTAGAGAGGATTTTTTTTTTTGAAGGGATTGATTGAAAATTTATTTTCTTTTCTTGCTACTGTTATGCAAAAATGGTAAAGAAAAAATATTTGATCGAAAAAAGGGTGAAAGAGTATTTTAGTATTCTATTTGTATTTGTATTTTTTTTTTTTGGGAAAAAATTTGAATTTTAGAAAAAAATTGACCCAGTCAAGTTTTAACATATATTGAATTTTGCATGAATTGAAAGTTTTGCTTTTCTATTCGTTTATATAAAATGGACAGAAACTTCTCTCTAAACTGGCACGCATTGAAAAATCGACAAACGAGAAACTTTCAAGGGAAATGTGGAACATAAGCCGGATGCTGAAGAACGCCACTAGAAATAAATGAAGTTGTCTATATATATATAGTAAATTTTTATAATGGAATCCCGATTTATTCACTTGTTTTAGTGAATGAACGAGGGGGAGGGGAATATTTTTTTTCTATTCGAAAATTTTACTTTGTTAATTATTGTTTTCCATATAAAAAGCTTTATACATCTAATAATATCTTTCTATGTTTTTTTATTATTAAATCTTTATAATAAATTTAATTTTTTTTTGCAATTAAATTTCAAAATAATTTTAAAATAAACTAATAAAGTATTTCTTCAATTTGATTTCGTTAATGACTTTTAATTAAAATTTTTCTTTATACTTCAATTTTGAATAATTTTAAAATTAACAGTTTTTTAATACAATTTTAATACGTTTTTGAATTTAAATTCATAGATATAAACTTTTTAGATTCAATTTTTATTTTTAATAAAATTAATTCTCTCGTTAATAAACTAAATAAATACTTTTAAATGCAATTTTAAATTATTTTAACTTGAAATTTGTAGATTAAAAATTTTTTACATTCAATTTTTAATTAAAATGCAATTTTAAATAATTTTAACATGAAATTTATAGATTTAAACATTTTTAGATTCAGTTTTTATTAAAAATTTTTGAAAAATGAATTTTAAGTTATTTTAACTTCAAATTTGTAGATTAAAAATTTTTTACATTCAATTTTTAAATTAAAGTGGAATTTTAAATAATTTTAACCTTAAATTTACAGATTTAAACATTTTTAGATGCAATTTTTATTTAAAATTTTTGAAAAATTAAATTTATGTTATTTTAACTTGAAATATGTAGATTTAAAATTTTTTACATTCAATTTTTATTTGAAATGCAATTTTAATTAATTTTAACCTCAAATTTACAGATTTAAACATTTTTAGATTCAATTTTTATTTAAAATTTTTGAAAAATGAATTTTAAGTTATTTTAACTTTAAATTTGTAGATTTAAAATTTTCTACATTCAATTTTTAATTAAAATGCAATTTTAAATAATTTTAACCTCAAATTTACAGATTTAAACATTTTCAGATTCAATTTTTATTTAAAATTTTTGAAAAATGAATTTTTAGTTATTTTAACTTCAAATTTGTAGATTAAAAATTTTTTACATTCAATTTTTAAATTGAAATGCAATTTTAAATAATTTTAACCTTAAATTTATAGATTTAAACATTTTTAGATGCAATTTTTATTTAAAATTTTTGAAAAATTAAATTTATGTTTTTTTAACATGAAATTTGTAGATTTAAAATTTTTTACATTTAATTTTTTATTCAAATTTTTTAGAAAAATTTAATTTTTAAATTATTTAAATTAATTTTTCTTTTTAACAAAAAATTCTTTTCATAACTTACCTATTAATTTCAGCAAATAAATATTATAAATAATTTATTTAATTTTAAAAATATTTTTAAATATAAATGTATTTTTCTTACTGAAAAGATATTTTAAAAAAAATTTTTGGTAATTGATTTCATATACCTATTTTATATTGATCTTATATATTTATTTCTTAAATATTTATTTATTGTAATAAATATTTAAAATATTTAAATTTACTAATAATTTATTACTTATTAATTTTATTAAATTGCAATAATATTCTAATTTATCTTTATTTAATAAAATCTAGATTTTTTTAAAATCTAAACAAATTCTTTTATAGTTAAAAAATGTTTTGAATTAAATACTATTTCTAATTTAAATGATTTACAATTTTTATATATTAGATATTAAATTAAAATCTTTTTGAATCTTATCAATTATTAATAAGATTATTATCCTTAATAATAATTTATTACAAACTAATTTATTTACAAACTAATTTGTATCTAAGAGAATTATTTTTATTAAAAAGCAATTTTAATTAAATAATTCTACTTTTGATTAAAAGAGGTTCATAATCATTTTTATTTATTGTTAAATAAAAATATTTTTAATTCTAAACAAATAATTTTAGTTATAAAAAATACCTTCATTTGAATAATTCTATTTGTAATTAAAAGAGTTTTTTTTTATTAAATAAAAATGTTTTTAAATTTAAAGAAATTCTTTCAATTGAAAACTATTTGAAAGCTAAAATAAATATGAAGACTAAATACTAAAGGTATTTAAAACTATTGATTATAATTTCTATTTATTATTGGATTGAAAAAATATTTAAATGAAAAATGTCCTCGCCTATTTATTTATTATTGAATTTACATAAATATTTTTAAATCTGAACTAATACTTTTAGTTTAGTATTCTGAATTAAATAATTCTATTTAATTAATTAATTTTAATTATTTTAATTATTTAATTAATTTTATTATTTAATAATTCTATTTAATTTTTATTTATTATTAAATTAAAATATTTTCAAGTCCAAACGAATTCTTCTTGTTAAAAACTATTTGTAAAAATAGTGTTTGAAAACAAATAAAAAATTTGTAATTATTAGATTAAAAAATAAAAAATGTTTTCTACTTACAGATTTTTTTCAACGAACCACCATATCCTGAGGTTAAATTCGATCGCCTTAGTCCAGCATCTTCTTTTCAACAGCAGTCGTGGTCCAGGATCTCTTAATTCGGGAATTTCAACTCTCTCTCTCTCTCTCACACCGTCGCCGCTTAACACACCCAAAATCTTTGAAGAGAGACCCCAAATATCGATGAACGAAATTTCCGCCCCCCTCGGATTTTCCAGGTCAGTTGTAAATAATTAAATGAAAATTTAATACAAATTTCTCTTGTGGGTATTCCTTTTTGTTTTTCTAGAATTTTCGAAAATATTTTTTCAAAATTCTTTTTCAAAAAAAAAAATTGTCGGGATGGTGTGAAAGGATTAAATGCGAGAAAAAGAAACAGGAATAGTAAAAAAAAAATGTGTACGTGACTATCGTGATTCGCGTGGCCCGTGACCACACGCTCATGTAGCTACTCGGGGGATGCTGAAGAGAGTCAGGCCGTCAGGCGTACGACTGAATTCCAAATTCAGCATCCAGTTTGGCTCTGGACCACACTATCCTAGGGGTGGTTTCGAGAGTGAATCGGAGTGAGATGAAGCTATATGAAGAATTGAGAATAAAGAGATGCGATAGAGTGAGATGGAGATCCACGTGTAGGGGGTCGACGTATTGATCTTTTCGCGCAAACTCCCGCCTCTTAGGGTTCCTCCACAACTTTTCTTCATGGTGCAGGAGCCACCCCTTGTCGTCGTCATGATACGTGCCATCGTTGAGGGAGATGAAAGAGAGGGGGGGGGGAGAGAGAGATGACTCTCAATCCATTCGCGTTGAAAAAAAACACAGGGCACAAGTGTGTTGACAACCGGATACACTTGCGGGGTTAAACTAATATATTTTTTTTCTCTAAAGTGTCCCACACACCCCTTTCATTTTTGCAACAAACGAGTGGGGACTGACGAATGTCGTTTAATTCTTGGGACTTTTTTTTATAAACTTTTTAATAATAAAAGGAACAATAAATATTTGACATTTAATTTCAATTTTATACGAGATACGACCAAAAGAAATTTGTAATTTACACAATCGATTTTATACTTTTATCTATAGGCAGACTTCACAGTGCCCCTAAAAAGTATTTTAATTTTTAAGGGAAATAGGGGACTTTTAGGGGACCATAAAAAATGGTTAAATAAAGATAAAAATATAATTTATTTATACAGGGTTGCCACAAAAATTTAACTTTATTTTTCTCTGACTTTTCCCTGATTTCCAAACACAACTTTCACTTTTTTCTGACCCTAAAGAATATTCTAATTCACTCTCTTATTAGATACTCAAAAAACTGTTCTATTAAATTTATTTACAAATTTCTTCAAAAGTCAAATTATTCAAAAACATTGGTTTATTTAAAATAAATATTTAATCATTTTTTTAAATTGGAATTAAGATGTTCAAAAATTTCAAATTCAAACCTTTTCAAATTGAATTCGTAAGAATATTATTATAAAACATAAAGAAATGGATCACTCTGAGTCTTCGACTCGGACTAAACCATTTCTTTGTGTTTCATAATAATTAAAGATGACCGACTGACAAAATAATTATTTTATTATTATAAGAATATTGTTACTGTAATTTCTTCAAAATTATTTGTATTAATTCAATTAACATTTTCTAGAATTTTTAACTAAAGCTCTACTTTAAATCAATAACATCAATTATTATTCAATTAAACTTTTTCAAAAAAAAAAAAATTAATTCTACAGAATTGTTAGTTAAAAGTAGAAAAAATAATAATTTAATTCTCTACGAGAAATCAATTATTTAAATACAAAAATAAATAATATTGAATATTTCTTCAAATTTAATTTTTACGAAGAATTAACAACTTTTGAAAATATTTAATTTCTTTTTTTTTTTTTTTTTTTTTTTTTATAATTTTAATGAAATTTTTTCTTAAGAATTTTATAACAATTTTTGAAAATATTTAATTTCTTTTAAGGAATTTAATTAAAATTTTAATGAAATTTTTTCTTAAGAATTTTATAATAATTTTTGAAAATAATTGAAAACTTTTGAAAGAATTTTATTAAATTTTTTTTAAATAATTGGATTCTTGAGAAGAATTTAAATAATAATTTTTTAAAACAATTTATTGAATTCATGAGAAGAATTTTATTAAAATTTTTTAAAATAATTGACTTCTTGAGAAGAATTTTTAAAAAAATTTTGACAATAATTTAATTCTTTAGAAGAATTTATTTCCCTATCTATTTATAAAGATAATTTAATTCTTGGCGAGAATTTTTAAACAATTTTGAAAATTTAATTCACATTTTTCTAAGAAATTGAATTATCAAAAAAAATTTAATTTTTTTGTAAATAATTGAATTCTTTCAACGAATTTAATTAAATATTTTTATAATTGAATTTCTAGAAAAAAAAAATTAGTTTTTTGTGAAAATAATTGAATTTTTGTAACCAATTTAATTATTATTTTTTTAAATAATTGAATTTCTGGGAAAAAATTTTATTATGTTTGAGAACAAATGAATGTTTGCAAAGAATTTTATTAAATTTTTTGTAATTACTTGAATCCCTTTGGGAAAATTTTATTATTCTTGAAAATAATTGAATTTTTGTAACAAATTTTTTTAAACATTATTATAAATAATTGAATTTTTTTGAAAGAGTTTATTATTTTTCAAAAGAAATTGAACTATTGTAACAAATTTGTTAAACGTTTTTTTTTAAATAATTGAATATCTATGAAAGGATTTATTATTTGTCAAAACAATTGAATTCTTGCAAAGAATTGTATTAAATTTTTTTAATAATTAAATCCCTTGGGAAAAACGTTATTATTTTTGATAATAATTGAATTTTTGTAACAAACATTTAAACGTTTTTTTAAATAATTGAATACCTTGCGGAAAATATTATTATTCGTAAAAATAATTAAATTCCTGAGAAGAATTTAAATAATAATTTTTGAAAACTAAATTCTTGAGGAGAATTTTATTAAAATTTTTGAAAATAATTGACTTCTTGAGAAGAATTTTTAAAAAATTTTTGACAATAATTTAATTCTTGAGAAGAATTTCCCTATCTATTTATAAAAATAATTTAATTCTTGACGAGAATTTTTAAAAAATTTTGAAAATAATTTAATTTCGCAAAGTATTTTATTACTTTTCAAAAGAATTGAATTCTTGCGATGAATTTTAATATTTATCAAAATAATTGAATTTTGGAAAAGAATTTTATTAAAATTCCTTAGAATAATTGATTTTTCGGAAAGAATTTATGCGATTTTGTTGTTTATCAAGCTAATTGAATTTTTTTGCAAAATTACTTAAAAATTTTTGAAAATAATTGATTTTCTGCGACGAATTAAATGTTATTTATGAAAATATTTGAATTATTGCAACGAATTTCATTGTTTTATTGACTAATTGAATGTTTCTTAAAATTGAATTCTTTCCTCAAGTTTTAATAAAACTTTTAATAATAATTGCATTTTTCAAGAAATTTATTTAAAATTGTATTAAAAATATTTGAAATTCTGCGATGAAAATAATTGAATTCGTAAATGAAATTTTATTATTCATGAAAATAATTGAATCTTTTCGAAGAATTGTATCAAAAAGTTTTTTCTATAATTAAATCTGTTGATAAATTTTATGAAAATAGTAAATATTCAAAATTATTGAATTGCAAAAAAACTTTTGAAAGTAATTGAAATTTTGCAAAGATTTTTATAAATTTTTGCAAAATAATTGAATTTTTGGCGAAAAATTTTACTATTTGTAAAGATAATTGAATTCTTGACGAGATATTCGTGTAAATTTTTGAAAATAATTGATTTTCTTCGAAATTTATCATTTTTGTTCCGTAAAGTTCTGTAGACGCAATATTTAGTATTTAAATATTAATTTATAGTCGCTAAGAAAAAAATGTTAACCCAGTAAACTAGTAAAGTAACCAAAAGTATATAAATTATTAATTTTTTTTTATTGTGTTTTCTTATTTATTTTATTATTTTGCATTGATCAGTCTATTTGAGGTTTTTACCTATTTTTATAATAATTTATTTTATCTTTAACGTATTTGTAATTTAATATTTTTAAAAAACGAAATATTTCTTGTTTTATTATTTTAATTTATTTTACTATCTTGATAAAAAGTTATTTTTAAAAATTATTGGAAAAATCGAATGAAATAAATATAAAAAAAATTCTTAACGTATTTTTCTTTGTTTCAATTTATTTATTTTATTATCATGAAAAAAAATTATTTCAAATATAAAAAGATATATAGAAAAATTTTTTACAATTTTTTTTCAATTTTTTTTCTTTCCATTTATTATTTTATTATGATGATAAAAAATATTTCTAAAAATAGAAATAAATATAAAAAAAAAATTCTTTACGAATACCTAGTACATTATCCAGTGATTTTACGAATAGGATTTATATAAAGTATAAGAAATTGCAGGGTTTTCATCAGATGAATCCTCTTTTATTGGACCATATTCAAATAACTTTTTGTACAAGGGAACGTTGACCCACTCTGAAACTAAATGAATGAGAAATCCAATAAAAATGAAGTGGAATTGCTATTCTGATAAACTCAAGAGTACTCTTATATAATCTTTTAATGGAAAATTACAAATTTCTCTCGATTCTCAACTGATATACCTACCAAAAGAAAAAAAAGAAAAATCAAAATTATTCATCTCCAAGATTTAATTGAAATCTTTACAATCAACATATCTATATATGCAAGAAATATTTCTAAATCGGCTTCTTATTTATTGTTTTCCTTGGGGGGCATTTTTTTCAAGTAGAGAAATATTTCAATAAAATAATAATTTTTAATTCCTTTGATAAGAGGTTTAAAAGTGCTTTGGCAAATTTTTATTAAATGTAAAATATAATTGAAACGACAATATTAATTAATATTTTACAATAATAATTACAATATTTATTTAATTTATTTATTCATTACACGGGTTTACAAAATTACTTTATAATTATTGTAATAATGAGATTTAATATATTATTTCTATTAATTATAAATAAGTAACTATATTGATATTAATTATATAAAAAAAGAGAATTACAGTAAAAGGCAGATGCTATTTATTCAGTGGAAAAATAAATTTGGTTTCATAACTATATAATATTAGTTAATTTACTCGTAATTCTAAATAAGCATGTAATGTGTTAATATATAACGTAAACCAAAATACTGATTATTCAAACCAGAATTTTTTCTCCACTGTTGAATTGCGTTCAAGGAAAGTCAAGGGGAAGGAAAAAAGAACTTTTTTTCCGCTGAGTGAATGCACCTAAGATTTTTTCCGCTCTGAAAGCTTTACGATGAAGAGGAAAAGGGAAAAATAAATGTCCTTTTATAATTCCTCTTGAATTATGAATTTGAGAAATTGCAGTTAATGAACCATTTCGAGAGTATGCGTATTATATTTTTTTGATTTTTAGTTTACTTCTTATTTTCATCTAAATTCGAATATCATTTTTATTTTCAACAAAATTTTTAAAGGGAAACCGAGAAAAATTTCCAGATTTCTCAATAAATGGTTTATTGAACTGTATGGATCAAAATCAATTTCGATTAAGAATTAGTCATTATTAAATTAAAATTATTAATTAAAATTATTAAATTCAAATAAAATTGAATTAAAATTCGAAAATTTATTTCAAATTTTTTTTATTTTTCATTTCTCTTTTTTACAGATATAGGATTTATTATAAAAGTGAAAAAGATTTTGCATTATTATTATTATTTGCGAAAATCAAACACATTTCGTAGAATTGTCACGAAAACGGTGGTGACAAATTTTCTAAATCTTATATAATCTAAAAGTACTTTGTACTGAAAACACTGATGAGATAAATATAAAATAAATATAAAGTATTGTAGAAAAAAAAATATTTTCCTATTTTTTACGATGGGAAATTTTTTTTTTTAATTTTTGAATAAAATACAGATTTATAAATAAGAAAAAAAAAATATTTCTGCTTTTCAAATTTGACGAAATTAAGAAATTTCGATTTTTTTGGCAACAAACATTTTTTTAAAACTATAAATATAGAAAAATCTAATAAATAAATTCAAGGGGAAAAAATTTTCTATCAGTTTTTTTTTTAACAAATCTTGAAAAATGTTTTTTTTTCGAAGAATCAAGTTTGACGTCAGAAATTAAATTAACATTTGATTTTAATATTCTCTTTTTTTTTTTTAATTTCGACGTCTGTAATTTGTAAATAAACTTTTCCTCCTAAGAAACAAATTACAATTTCTAAAGTTATTCTAAAATTATTTTTAAAATTTTAACATCTGTATAGAAAATTTCTTTTTTTGATAATTTTCCAAAGAGTAACAAATTAGACTTAAAATATTTATACGATAATTAAATTTAATTAACATTTTTATAAAAGACCTTTTAGGAATGAAAGACAAAAAAAGAAAAAATAAATTTAAATAAAGTTTTTTAGTTTCGACAATTTCTCATTCGGATAAAAAAAAAATTCTTTTGCCAAACAAATTTTTCACTAATCAAAAAATTATTTGATTCTTGTCTATTATCAAGTAAATATTTTCTTTTTGAATTAAAAAAAATATTTAAAATATTTATTTTGTTTTATTACCACGAAATAAGTATTTGAACCAATAGTTTCGGTATTTGAAGCAAATACCATTTAATTGACTTAAAAATTATTTAATAAAAAAAAAATTATTAGAAAATTAATAATGGACAACTATTCGTTTATTTGAATCAAATAAATTTTTGTCAGTGTTGTATTAATATTGTAATTTTAATATTGTATTAATATTATATTAACATTAATTACAATATTTTATTAATAATTTTATTAATTATAATTATAATATTTTATGAAGGGCATTTGAACCATTATGACGTTACAATTTATTTAAAGCATTTCTTCTAAAACTGTGACGTCATAAAAGTTCAAATTCCCCTAATATTTATATTAATTATTTTTTTTTCATAATTAATAATAATATTAATTATTTTTTTTTCATAATTAATAATAATATTAATTATAATGTTATATTAATATTAAATAAAAATTTGCTACCCCAAGGGGAATCGAACCTCGTACTACGCGCACTATTGCAAGCGCCTTAGCAAGTTCAGCCATCGCCCAGTTTTTCTTACATTGTAATAATATTTCGACAATATTCTTTTTTCTAATTCTTAATTTAAACAAACTATTTGCTAAATGCAACAAAATGGATTTTTGAAGAAATATAAATTAATAAAAAATTCTATTTCTAAATTATCGTCTCTAAGAGTAAAAAAAAAAAAAAATAGAAAAAAGCAACGATAATTTTTTGCTAGAGATTTTTAAAGCCATTTGTAGAATGTTCGCTGTCAAAGGAAAAGCAAAGAATTCTCAATTCTACTTTGATTGTCGAAACGCTTTGTCTTTCATGTAACATTAACAAGTCTGGCTTTAATTTTTTTCGTCATCTTTCTTCTTTTTTTCTGGATAGAGAATTAAAAAATAAAGAAAGAAGGAAAGGAGAGAGAAAAAAAGAAAGTGGAACACGAACGACGAGAAGTCGTTCATCCTTTGTCTAAAAAAGACGCTTTTGAGGTATATACCGGAGCCACTCGACATTCAAAGGTCATTTTCCTTTTGTGCTTTTCCCCGTTTCATCTCTCATCTTCGTATAGAGAATGTATATTTATATGTTTGTGACAATCGAAAAAAAAAATATTTATAATATTTATCCTGCTTGTTTGTTTTTTTTCTCTTTTTTGAATTTTGTGAGAAATTTAGACAGAGTTTGTATTTTTTTTCGTGGTAAAAAATAAATCACGTATTAGCATTGAGGTGATTGATGGCACTTGCTTTTGATCGTGTTTTGTTGGATTTAAGTCATCATAGGATGCATATTCCGTGGCCACTTTACGCGATGTCATTGTCAGCATTCTAACGAGGTCCGTCGTTTCTGCATGCTCATCGATTATTTCACATAAACACTGAATGTACCATGTGCCCTCCTGTGGATTTCTCCAGGAGAAGAATCCTTTAAAATCGAGCAAAAAAAAAATTTTTTTAGACCTCTTTTTATCAACGCTTGAAATTTATAAAAGGTGGAAGAAATATTTTTTTTTTTTAGTAATTTTTAATTATTCGGGGTTACCACAGGAGTGAAAAATTATAGGGAATTTAGGGAAAAGTCAGGGAAAATAGAATTAGTCAGGGAAAAGTCAGGGATTTTTATTAAAGTACTGAAAAAAATTGAATTTTTAAGAAGTTGCAATAATTATTGTAGAAATTCAATTATATGTTCAAAAATTTAAAAAAAATTCTCGTCATAATTTCAATTATTTTTAAAAATAATAAAATTATTCTTCAAAATTCAATTATTTTTAAAAATTTTAATAAAATTCTTGGCAATATTTCAATTATTATCAAAAATTTTCCTCAATTCAATGATTTACAATATCTACTATTTTAATAAAATTTTTCAAAAAATAAAATTATTTAAAAAAAAAAATTTGATAAAATTCTAAGCAAACATTAAACTATTTTCATAAATAATAAAAATTTCACATGAATTCAACTGTTTACAAAATTTTTATACATTTCTTCGCAATAATTCAATTATTTCCATACATAAAATGTAATAAAATGTTGAATTTTAAGAAATTCGGATTTTTGAATTTTTGATAATTTTCGATAATTTTAGATTTTTTACCAAAGGGTGGAGACTATTAAATAAGTAAAGTATTTTTGAAGAGCACAAAAATAATGAAGCTAAATGCCATAAAAAAGAAGAAAAAATGCTGAATTTTAAGAAATTCGGTTTTTCGAATTTTTGATAATTTTTGATAATTTTAGATTTTTTACCAAAGAGTCGAGACTATTAAATAAGTAAAGTATTTTCCAAAAGCACAAAAATAATGAAGCTAAATCCCATAAAAGAGAGGATAAAATGTTGAATTTTAAGAAAAACGGATTTTTGAAATTTTTCGAATTTTTGATAATTTTAGAATTTTTACCAAAGAGTCGAGACTATTAAATAAGTAAAGTATTTTCCAAAAGCACAAAAATAATGAAGCTAAATCCCATAAAAGAGAGGAAAAAATGTTGAATTTTAAGAAAAACGGATTTTTGAAATTTTTCGAATTTTTGATAATTTTAGAATTTTTACCAAAGAGTCGAGACTATTAAATAAGTAAAGTATTTTCCAAAAGCACAAAAATAATGAAGCTAAATCCCATAAAAGAGAGGAAAAAATGTTGAATTTTAAGAAAAACGGATTTTTGAAATTTTTCGAATTTTTGATAATTTTAGAATTTTTACCAAAGAGTCGAGACTATTAAATAAGTAAAGTATTTTCCAAAAGCACAAAAATAATGAAGCTAAATCCCATAAAAGAGAGGAAAAAATGTTGAATTTTAAGAAAATCGGTATTTTGAATTTTTGATAATTTTTAATAATTTTTGATTTTTTACCAAAGGTTGGAGACTATTAAATAAGTAAAGTGTTTTTGAAGAGCACAAAAATATTGAAGCTAAATGCCGTAAAAAAGAAGAAAAAATGTTGAATTTTAAGAAATTCGGATTTTTGAATTTTTGATAATTTTCGATAATTTTAGATTTTTTACCAAAGGTTGGAAATTATTAAATAAGTAAAGTGTTTTTCAAGAGCACAAAAATATTAAAGCTAAATGCCATAAAAGAGAAAGAAAAATTTTGAATTTTAAGAAATTCGGTTTTTTGAATTTTTGATAATTTTTAATAATTTAACTAACTAATTATTATTTTTTTTCCGATCAAATTAAATTCCTGCCTATTTCCTGATTTTCCAGATTAGTAGAAACATTGTTAAATGTATTGGTTGAAACTAAAACGACAGCTAGTTATTTTTATGTTATAATAAAAATTTCACAGGAATTCAACTATTTACAAATTTTTTATAAATTTCTTTTCATGAATTTAAATGTTCATGAATAATAAAACTTATCATAAAGTTTCACTTATTTTTAATACAACTTTAACCGAGTTCTTTGAAAAATGTAATTATTTTTAAAAATTTTATTAAAATTCGTCGAAAAAAATCAATTTTTTAAAAATTTGTTGATAATTTTTATTAATTGTATTTTAAAAAAGTTTAATTGAATTTTTTTTTTGAAATTATTTCAAGTTTTTATTTTATAAATATTTAATTGAAACTCTTTAAGAATAATTAAAATCTACAAAGAATATTATCAAAAACTTTTGAGAATAATTGAATTATTTAAAAAAAATTTACTGTTTTTAAAAATAATTAAATCCGTTAGAGAAATTTTATTAAAATTAACTGAAATATAATTGAATTTTTTTCTTGAAATGTTATTTAAATTTTATTAAAAATAATTGAATTTCTCGGAAGAGTTTTATTATATAAGAAAAAAATTAAATTCTTGCAAAGAATTTCATAATTTATAAAAATAATTGAATTCTTGCGGAGAATTTTATAAATTTATAAAAATAATTGAATATTGTTTCGATGAATTTCATCCGAATCTTTGAAAATAATTGAATTTTTTGATAGAATTTTATTAAAATTTTTGAAAAAAATTGAATTCATCGAAAAATGTTATTAATTATAAAAAATAATTGAATTTTCATTAAAATTCTTGAAAATACTTAATCGAAATAAATATTTAATTGTAGAATTTCCGAATAATAAAAATTTTTTATTAAAATTGAATTGTTAACAAATGGATTTGAAAATTCTCTAGGAACTGTTTTTAAAAATTATTAAAAATAATTGATAATTGTTGAAGAATTTTATTATTTATGAAAATAATTGAATTGATGTGAAAAATTGTATTACTTATAAAAACAATTGAATTTTTGCAAAGGATTTTATTATAATTTTTGTAAATAATTTAATTTTGGTTTGAAAAATTTTATGAAAAATTTGACGAAATATTTTAGAGAATTTTTATTTTCTTGGTGTTTTATTTAACTTCGAATTTATACGAAAAGAAATATATACTATTATATTTCTATAAATAATGTTAGAAAAATGAAAAATTAATTTTCCAAAATTATATAAAATTTGAAAAATTACCTTGAACTGTACTGTGAGCAATGAGGAAATCTGCATGAGTCGGAATTTTATATGCAGCGGTTGCAGAATCAGTTTCTGTTCTAACAGCACTTCGCATTAATGAAATTCCAGAATCGAGTTTATCACCTCTGCATGCCTAAATAAATTTTATTTATTTATAAAAATTAAAACAATTTTTAATCGAAAAATTAACAAAAAAAAAAAACTAGCTAATTGTAAGTATATTACATTATAGTTTCAAAATATAATTTCCGAATTGCAGTACTTAAATAATTTAAAATATCACAATAATTTTGATTCATGGAAAAAAATCCTCACTTGAAAAAAGAATAATTTTGGTTTTCCAGCGAGAGAAATGCATTTATCGGCAGTGAACGGTTTCCAAATATGCTCCGATGAATAGGCAACATCTTTTGCACAAATTAGATCATTATTTAGTCCGTGTGTTAAAACAAAAATGCAAATACAATCATTGTCACTGTGATCTTCCTTTTGAACTGTAAATTAAGGACAATATAACAATTATTTATTATAATTATCCATAAATTATTTCTTAAATAAAAAAAAAAACTATTATTGGAATGTTTACTTACGTTTTTCTATTTTTTCAATAATATCGTTATGTTTCAAATTGTCGAACATTTCGACAGAAAAGCCAATATTTTGAAAAGTTTTATGAATTTTCTTGACGTCATTTATTGAACCATCTCTTTTTTCAAATCCAGTGTCAAATATGTCGTGATTAAAAATTACACATTTCCCTCGATTTTTATGATTCATATTATAATTATGTGCCTCCTTTGATGTTGTCATTTTTGCTATTGATGAAGAACTGAAATATTAATTAATTTTATTATTTTTATTCACTATTTATTTTATTATTTACTTCATTGTTTACTATTTATTATTCTCTTTATTATTAACAATATTTATTATTATTATCTTAATTATTTACTATATAGAACAAAATTTAATTTTCGAAATTTTGTCTTCTGAATTATTGTAGAATAATTTAACAATTATTTTATTATCAATAAAATAGATATCTCACTCTTTAGTAGCTTCATCTTGATTTGGATCTAAATTATTATTTGGTGCCGCATCTAGAACGTCAGGTTTTCTTATCAACCATTCGGGCATAAAAATTTTAACAGATTCTGGTGTTGTAATGCATCCCTGATCTGGTGAAACCTAAAAAAGTAGAACAATTTTCTCATTTTTTTATTTAAATATTCCGAAATTATTATTGTAGTTATTATAATTTAATTATTGTTGTTATTCTCAGTATTATATTTTTTTTATTATTACTATTATTATTTTTATTATCATTTTTATATTATATTATTGACTAAAAAAAAATTATTTGATATCCAAATAACTGATTACTAGACTGTTATCAAATAAATATTTACTTAAATAAAATAATTTTCAATTAAATCAATTAAATTAGAATCAATAATTATTTGAACTAATAATTTCAGTATTTGATGTAAATTCTATTTAATTGACTTAAATAAATATTTATAATATAAATATTTGTTCAGATACAATTTAATTGATTTTATAAAAATTATTTGATTCAAGTAAATTATTTTTTGATAACAGTCAAGTTATTACTTATTTGAATCAAATAATTTTCTTTCAGTGTAATTATATTACAATTATAATTGTATAATTAACATTTAAAAATTATAATTGATATTTAATTAAAATTTATAAAGTTTATAAAAATTTATTAATTATTAATTATAAATTATTGTTGTTTTTTTTGCAAAATTATAAATATTTATAAATTATATATTTAAATTAAATTTTATTTTTTATGATATAGAATGAAAAAAAATTTATTTCATTCAATTAAACTTGTCGATTGTCAAATAAATTAATAAATATTTACTTGAATCAAATAATTTTGATTTAAATCAAATAAATTTGATTCAAAATAATTTTATATTTGAACGAATAATTTCAGTATTTTGAAGACAATATGAATTGAATTATTTAATTGACTCAAATAAAAATTATTTTGATTAAAGTAAATATTTAAAAAATTGATAATAGTCAAGTAATCGGTTATATGAATTTAATAAATTTTTTTTCAGTGCGAATTTTATTTACTCTATAAAGTGAAGATAGAAAAATTCTCCTACCGCGTCCAGTTTAGTTGATTTTGATTGCTTGGACGCACGATAAACTCCTGATTCTATTTCTCGATCTCCCATACTGTCAATAACGTCACTAACTCGTCGTGTTCTTTTTTCACTTTGTAACTTTTTCTTCAATTCATCCTCCAATACTTCGTAAATATTCTGAAAGAAAGAAAAAAAGAAAATTATTCTATAAAAATTACAATCAAAATTACGTTTTTTTTCTCATTCTTGGTTTGAAATTAAAAAATCAATATGGCGGTAATTTTTTTATTCTATAAATACTACATTACCATTTAAACAATAAAAAAATTATTATAAATTAAAGTACTTAAACTGATAAAAGTAATTACTCTCTAAGTTTGAAATGAGTAAAAATATTTCCTGTTTTGAATTAGTAACTGTCTTTTTGCTTTTTAATTAGTAAATTCAATTCATTTTATTAATAAATAGTAATTTCTACTAATTTATTAGTAGAGTTTACTAATTCAATTAAGCAAAAAAAAAGTCACTAATTTAAATTAGTAAACATTTTTTTCTATTTTAAATTTAGAAAGTAAACTAATTGGATTATTATCAATTAAAGTAATTAAACTAATTGAATTAATAAATTAATTGAATTATAATTTTAATTACAAATATAGCAGTGATTTTTTTTTTATTCAATAAACATTGCATTACCAATTTAAATAATCACAAAAGAAAAAAAAAATTAATTTGATTCTAATAACGGATTACTTGTCTGTTATCAAATAAATATTTATTTCATAATAGACAAGTAGTCGGTTATTTGAATTAAATAAATTTTTCTTTCAGTGTAATTATTAAATTAACTAATTAAGTTGATTAATTTAATTAACACAATTAATTTAGTCTCTTTACTAGACTAATTAAAATGTAGGTATTAATTAAAACAATTAGCTTCAGAAATGAATTAGACTAATTAAATTAATCAGTTATTTAATTATTAATGATTTATTTACTTTAATACGTTAATAATAAATTTATAAATTAACAAATCTTCATTAATTGTGTAGAAAATAATTTTTGTTATATATTAGTTCAATTAATCTTGATTAATTGCGTAGAAAATAATTTTTGTTTTATATTAGTCCAATTAATTAATAGTTAATTAAAATAAAAATTAATAATTTGATTTTTAATATGTGATTAAAGTTAAAATTCGATAAGAAATTTTTTTTTAATTTTTTTTTTTTTTTTTTGAGTTTGCATTTTTATTACGACGCAATAAACAGTTGAATGAATTAGCAGGTATTTCTTTTAAAAGAGAAAAAAAATTGTTTTTGATAACTTACATCATTTTTAGGTTTTTTTGACATTTTCTAAAGTCGTTGTACACTTAAAAAATAATGACAATTCACTCGCGATATTACTAATAAACGACGAGGCAAATGTCATAATTAAAATCATGATTATTGCGGTTGGATTGATACGACTGACCAGAATAATATTTCATGTATTACCTCAAAATATACACGCACATTTATAACTATATATGTATTTATTTATCATGAGAAGATATCTACTCTTCTTGATATAGATATATATATATATTTATATTCAGAAACTTCCATCTTCCCTCTTTCTCTAATTATCAACTCAAGGTCATTGTCCCTATAAAATATATACATATATATAGGTAGTACATTAATTTTTGCGTGTTGATTTTTTTTTTAATTTTATATTCATTGCTAAAAATTATTTTTTTATTTTTAGTGTCTTGATTCAAAAAATAGTTTTAATTATAAATTTTTTCTAGAAAAATTTATTTATTTACTATTTATTTAGTGTCAAAAATATTGTTTGCAATTAATTAATTAAATAACTTCCTACAAAATCTATTTATTTATTATTTATTTATTTGGTTGCAAACTTTTTTTTTCAAATTAATTAATTCAGTAACTTTCTAATTAATATTTATTTATTTACTTATTATTTATTTAGGAGCACAAAATTTTTTTCAGTTAATTAATTAAGTAATTTTCTGTAAAATCTATTTATTTATTATTTATTTGGTTGCAAACATTTTTTTCAAATTAATTATTCAGTAATTTTTTTATTAATATTTATTTATTTATTATTTATTTAGTTGCAAAACTTTTTTCTTTTTTTTTGAATTAATTAATTAAGTAATTTTCTGCAAAATTTATTTATTTAGTTGCAAACATATTTTTTTAATTAATTAATTAAGTAATTTTTAATGAAATTTATTTATTTACTTAGTTGCTCATTTTTTCCAATTTATTTATTTATTTAATTTTTTTATAACATTTATTTATTTACTTATTATTTTTTATATTTATTTAGTTGCAAACATTTGTTTTCAAGTAAGTAATTTTCTGTAAAATTTATTTCTTTATGAATTTAGTTGCAAACAATATTTTTTAATTAATTAATTAAATTGTTATTAGAGAAGAAATTGGATAATTTGATAATGATTGTCAAATAGTGATATGTGAAAAGTATATGGCGGTGATGAATCGTCGCAATCTAATTTCTATGATTCATTCAATTATATACCTAATAATTTTCCGATTTTGTGAAATCACAGATTTATAAATTTGATAGACGTTAAAAATATATTTTTGAAAATATTTATAACTTTTTATCCTTATATAATTTATTTTCTTTTATAATTAATGAAGATTTATTTTCTAATTTAATTAATAAAAAATCTATTCATATAATTATTTAATGAATTGAAACTAATTTTCTATAATACCTATAATTAAATAAAAATAATTTTCGAATTTACTTAATTATAATTTTAATTTTCCAGTACAATTAATAATAATAAATAAATAATTAATAATTAATAAACTTTTTGAAATAAATTAATTTTCTAATTCAGTCAATTAATTTTAATTTACAAATTCCAATAATTAAAATTTACTCCTATTCAGTTTAATTAATTAAATTTAATTTCCTGATTCAAAATTACTTTTCCAATTTAATTAAATAAAAATAATTTCTTAATTAATTTCATTAAAATTCCTTTTTCAGTTTAATTATTTAAAATTAATCTTCTAACTTAGTTAATTAACTTTAATTCTCTACATCAATTAATTAAAATTACTTATTCAGTTTAATTAATTAAAAATAATTTTTTTATTTTTTAGGTAATTAACTTTAATTTTCAAATTAATTCAATAAAATTAATTTTCTATTTCAATTAATTAAAATTACTTATTCAGTATTTAATCAATAAAATTGCTTTTTCAGTTTAATTTATTGAAATTAATTTTCCAATCTAATTAGTTAAAATTGCTTTTCTTATTTAATTCATTAAAATTTTGAGAATGTTAAATTCACGTAGATTAATTAATTCTTTGCTATTTATTGTTTATTCTATTAATAATCATAAAAAGTTATTATAAATAATTTAATAAATAACAAAATTAATTTTCTACTAATTTTTAATTATAAATATTTTCTCATTTGTAAATAAATAAATTATTAATCGATAAATAAATTTTTAATTAACTAATTAATCCTATAACTGCTTTAATTAGTTTAAAATTTATTTATTTGATTAATTTAAAACTTATTAATTTTAAATAGTTTGTTTTAATTTATTACATTAATAGTATAACAATAATTAATAAAATAAATAATAATAACAATTAATTATTAATAATTTTGTAATGTAAACAGATATATTACTTTGTTTTTATTGAAAAAAGTCCAAATTGTCTAAAAATTCGATGTTGTTATTAATTTTAATATCATCTTCAATGATGGATTTTTTGCATTATAAAAATTTCGAATCACTGATTAAAACACGATTTTGCAATTATTTCGCACTTTTCAGTTTTTAAGAGAGAATTTATATTATAATATAAAATATAAATTCATGAATATAAATTTAAGAAAAGTTTTCAATTTACAAGATTAATTAATTTTTTAACACTTTAACTGAGAGAGAAAATTCACTGACCACAAAATAAAGCCAAAAGTATTACTTTTTTTCTTATCAGTCGTGAGACAAATTTTATCAGCGACCAATAAAAATTCTCATTTCATTATATCTTTTGCAAATAAATTTCATTAGATCTATTATTAAAAGTAAGTCCCCCTTTAATCAATTTAAATCTAAAATTCAACAAAATTGATTTTTTCTATTTAGAAAAAAAAATTTTGTTCTTTTATTCAAAATTAATTTATTTTCCAGATATTTTTATCAATTTTAATTATAATTATAGTTAATTTCTATCTATAAGTATAATTTTTATCTTATTTACAGATATTTTGTTTAATATAAATTTTTATATATAAAAAAATTTATATATAAATATTTCAAATAAATAATTTATTTGAAAATACAAATTCAAAATTTCCCGCTTGAATACAAAATGAAGTGGAAATATAGCGGAACAACGAATGAGAAATGGGAACGTGTTTGAATTATAAACGGACGGAACGGAATGGAATGGAATGGAATGGAATTGAAAAACAAAAATGGCCGCTTTTGGCAATCGATGGAAGTGCCATCTGACGTGGCAGTAAACAAAAATTCACGCAGTTCACACAGCGGTGAAAGAAAAACAATTTTACACTTGAAAAAATAATTATATTTCTGACAAGAACATCAATTGAGATAACGTTTTTGTCTTCGTTTTTATCATATTTTGAAAATTGTGATCATAAAAAATTACTTAGTGATATTGATGGAGTCCCGTCTTCCACTGTCTTGTCCTATCATGAAATAGTGTTATTTTTGTTAATAAAAAAGGCAAATCGAAAAAGAAAAAGCACCCGCAGTGGCAAAATCACGTCTCTCGGATAAATTGCAATCGATATTAAAAGGAAACGCAAAATATTGTCATTCAATTCTAAAATAAATATGCGACAATTTTATTATTTTCTGGGAATCCTGGCCGTTGGCCTTCTTCCACTCGTTTACACTGATGAGCACAACCACATTGTAAGTTATTTAATGTCAATTTTCCTCTTATTATTTTTGGAATTATTTACCTTTTTTCTTCTTTTTTAAGGAAAAAAAAATGTATTAAATTTAAAGAATCGTGACGAATTCATTCAAAATTAATCGTAATTTTTTTTTTAATTATAGGAACAATATTTTCTAGTCGATAAAAATTTTCAATTATAAAGTAATTTTTCTCTTGGTTTTTATCAGCTCTTTTCATGAACTCTTAATGGTTTTTTCAAAATGACATTTTTGTTTATAAATAGAAAACCTATTTGATTGTGAAATATTGCATTTTTTAGTCATATCAGTTCACTACATTTTTATAGTTAATGTACTTTTGTAAAGATTATTTCATTTTTTCTTATTCTAAAAGTAATGCGAAATAAATTATTACTGAAAATAATAAAACGAAACATTTGAAGAAAATATAATAATCATTTATAATATTAAGATATTAATATTAAAAATTTAATCATTAATTAATATTAATCGTAATTATTGTTGACTTGGATTAGTTTTAATATTCAATGAATAGAAATAAAAGTTAATAAGCGAAGTAAATTAATTTTCTTGAAAAGCTAAAAGAAATTTCAATTTTATTTAAATTAATTCATTTTGTAGGAAAAATTGTGAAATAAATAATTCCGGCAATTATTATTTATCAATAGAACTAGGAGATAATGTGAAACATACAAAATTACTCTAGATTGTGTTACAACTTTTTTTTCTAGAATTTAATGTTGTAATCGTAAAAATGAAGTAGATTTTACGAAAAAAATAGTAATAAATTATTATTTATTATTTATTATTAAAAATTAAAATTAAATGATCAACTATTAAATTATTATAAATTAATTCTTAACTTGGTAATTATTTTAATTACGAACTAATTAAATTAATTTAATTTGGTAAAGTAATTAATTATTAATTAATTATTTACTAAATAATTAATTATTTTGAAAACAATTACCAGTAATTGTTTTCAAAAAAATTGCAATTTCAAAAAGTGAGAGAAATGATTAATGAATAAACACGATTTTCTTTTTTTTTAGTATGAAGATAATGAAGAAGTAATATTATGGATGAGCACAATTGGACCCTATCACAACAGACAAGAGACTTATTCCTATTCTTCGTTGCCACTTTGCAAAGGCTCAAAGCGAGTTATTAATCATTACCATGAGACTCTGTCCGAAGCCTTGCAAGGCATCGACTTGGAATTTAGTGGTTTAGAAATTGAATATAAAGGTTTGAAAATTGTTTATTAGAAAAGTTGACAAACATTTTTTACATTAAGAGAAACAATAATAATAAGAATGTTACTGTTTATTAATAATTTTATTTCATTAATTTTTCAGCCGATATCTCGAAAACTGAATATTGTGAAATTATTCTAAGCGAAGAGAATTTGAAACTATTTCTTTATGTCGTGAAAAATCAGTATTCTTATGAAATGTACATTGACAACTTGCCCATTAGAGGTAAGTGTGATAATATTAATATTTTATAAATATTTTTGTTTGTTTAATAATTGGGAAAGAGAATTCGAGTGTTATTTGCAATTGTGAGTGGTTTGTTTTTGAATAAAAGCACGTAGTATAAATTCCTTTCGGTTATATTTTTAGAAAGTTGGCATTTTCTTCTTGTATTCTTTATTTTAATAATTTTCAATTACTTTGAATTTTCTAGTTGTTAATTTTAATTTTCTATTTGGTTGAGTCTTAAACTAGTTTCTTTTCAAGTCTTTTACAAGTCGAAACTTCAAAAAACATCATAATATTTAATTTAATTTTCTAGTTTTTAATTCTAATTAATTCTGGTTTTTAGTTTAAATTTTCTGGTTGTTTAATTTAATTTTTTAGTTTTTAATTTTAGTTTTCAAGTTGTTAATTTTTATTTTTTAGTTTTTTATTCTAATTTTCTAGTTTTTAGTTTCAATTTTCTATTTTTTAATTTCAACTTTTTATTCTAATTTTCTAGTCTTCAGTTTAAATTTTCTAGTTTTTAATTTCAATTTCATATAGTTTCCAGTTTCAATTTTCTATTTTATAATTTTTATTTTCTAGTTGTTAATTTTAATTTTCCAGTTTTTTATTCTAATTTTCTAGTTTTCAGTTTTAATTTTCTATTTTTTAATTTTAATATTCTATTCTTTTTAATTTCAATTTTATATTGTTGTTAATTTTAATTTTTTATTTTTTATTGTAATTTTCTACTTTACAGTTTCAATTTTCTAGTTTTTATTTTCAATTTTCTATTTTATAATTTTTATTTTCTAGTTGTTAATTTTAATTTTCCAGTTTTTTATTCTAATTTATAGTTTTCAGTTTCAATTTTATATTTTTTAATTTTCTACTGTTTTTAATTTCAATTTTGTATTGTTTTTAATTTTAATTTTCTATTTTTTATTCTAATTTTAATAGTTTTCGGCTTCAATTTCCTAGTTTTTAATTTTAATTTTATATAGTTTTTAATTTTAATTTTTTATGTTTTAATTTTAATTTTCTGGTTCTTAATTTTAATTTTTTAGTTTAGAATTAAAATTCTTCACTTCGAGGCTTTTAATATTAATTTTCCGAGTGTAAAGTTCTAAACGTTGAAACGAACGAAATTTTTTTTCTCGAATAAAAATTTCATTACATTTATTTTTTATCGCATTTAAAAAAAAATTAATTACAAAGTTTCTAAATGTTAAATTTAAATTTTTAATTTTTATTACAATCAATAATTTATAAATTGAATATTTCGTTAATCTGAGTATTAAAAACGTGTAGATTATTTAATTTTCTAAAGTTTAAATTCAATTTTCTAGTTTTTAATATCAATTTTCTATTTTTTATTTTGAATTTTCTATTTTTTTAATTTCAATTTTCTATTTTTTAATTTTAATTCCCTATTTTTTTTTAATCAGGGGTCGTTGGAACTTATCAAAATGAAAAGGAAGGAGGCCCCACGTATTATATGTACACAAACAAGAAATTCGAAATTGGCTACAATGGAAAGCAAATTGTCGACGTTAATTTAACAACCGATGGTCATGTGAAATTAGAACTTGGCGCTCATATTTCCTTCACATATGAAGTCAGTTGGAAAAAGAGTACAACAAATTTCGAGGATCGTTTCGACAAATATCTGGATCCCAATTTCTTCCAACACAGGGTAAGTTCATTTACTTTCCACTTTATTGTTAACATTTTTTTCCACTTTTTCCTTTTACAGTAAATTTTTATTGAATTTTTTTTTCACTTTATTTATTTGTTTTCAATATTTTTTCTTTCACCATTAAAACATCTTCCAGAAATCGAAAAAATAATTTATATTTATTTACTTATTTGTTGTAGAAAAACTTGTTTTAAAATAGAAAATTTATTTTGCTTTTTAAATTGTAAAAAGTACTCACCTGGATATTTGAAATTCTGAATTTTTTTATTTTAAATTTTGAATTCAATTTTTAAATTGTCTGTTAAAAAAAATATGATTGTTTAGTTCAGTTTTGTTATTCTCTCTGTTTATATAACAACAATTGTACTATTTTTTTTAGAGAAACTTTACGCTTTTTTTATACCTAAAGAGCCAATAGGAAACGAGCGGAAAAATGCGTTGTTACATATTAATTAATCGCTCGTTTTCATTTTACCTTCGATTATTTTAATTTTTAATTTTATATTTAAAAATTGAGTTTTTAAATATTTAATTTAATTAACCATTTATTTTATATTTAATATTAAATTTTACATAATTATTAAAAGTAGGTACTTTTTATAATTTCGAATATTTAAATTTGTAATTATACATTTGGAAATTGAATTTCGAAATATTTATATTAAATTAAATATTTACATTAATAGAATATCATTAATATTGAATTAAAATTAAATTAATAGATTTTTCATTACTTCTTTTAATAAGATTACAAAAGTAGAAAATAAAAATTTTAATTCAAAAGTATACTTTTTGTATCTAAAAATAATTTAATATTGAAATTAAAATTAATTTAAAAAATTTGTTAATAAAATAATTGAAATTATTTAATTAAGTTTTTATTTTATTTTTTTAGACATATTTTTTTAAAAACAAGAATACTATAGTTGAAAATTAAAATTTTAATTGACATGTAATCTTTTATTTTCAGTAAAAATACAAAAATAGAAAATAAAAATTTTATGTGTAAAATGTATTGATTTTGTTTCTATTTTGAAATTAATTGAATTTTAATTTTGCAGATTCATTGGTTCAGTATATTCAACAGTTTTATGATGGTAATCTTTTTGGTGGGACTTGTCTCGATGATATTAATGCGAACGCTGAGAAAAGATTATGCGAGGTACAGTAAAGACGAGGACATGGACGATATGGAGAAAGATTTGGGCGACGAATACGGATGGAAACAAGTTCATGGAGATGTTTTTCGACCTGCAAGCCATCCAATGTTATTTTCCGCATTTATCGGTGCAGGTTACCAGGTAATTTTATTTTTATCAAACTTTTAATTATTTATTTATTCAAAAAGAAAAAAATTGACTTGGAATCTAAAGTAAAAAGCTTTAAATTAAAAATAAATTTCTATTGTTAATTATTGAGTTACTTAATTTTGAATTGAATTGAATTAAATTGAATTTAATGACTGAAATGGATTAATAATTAATAAAAATTACAGATAACAGTTGTTGTGTTCAGCGTGATTGTATTTGCCATTCTTGGTGAACTTTACACGGAACGTGGATCAATGTTGTCGACGGCAATTTTCGTTTATGCAGCGACTTCGCCGATAAATGGCTACACTGGCGGTGGTTTATATGCACGAATGGGAGGACGAATTTGGATAAAACAAATGTTGGTCAGCGCATTTTTAATACCGGTCCTCGTTTGTGGAACGGCATTCTTCATCAATTTCATTGCAATGTACTATCATGCGAGTCGAGCAATTCCCTTTGGTTCAATGGTCGCAGTCACTTGCATTTGTATTTTTGTCATTCTTCCATTGACATTAGTTGGAACAATATTGGGGAGGAATTTAGCTGGCACACCAGATGCGCCTTGTCGCGTTAATGCAGTGCCAAGGCCAATTCCCGAGAAAAAATGGTTTATGGAACCGTTGGTGATTATTTTGCTTGGAGGAATTTTACCATTTGGATCAATTTTCATCGAAATGTGAGTATTTCTTGATTTATTTATTCATTTCAAACACATGGGCAAAAGCACAAAAAAATTAAAATATTACAATTTTTGTCTTATTATTAAAACCACTCGGACGTTAAAGACTTTAATATAAAATTAAAATTTTGTTTTCTAAATGTTAAAAATCTAGAAACGTGCAGACTTCGAACAGTAATCTTTGACTTTTTTTCGATTATTCTTTTTCTTATAAAGAAAGACGACATTTTTCAATTTATTTTCAAAAAATGCAACCTTTTCGACTTTTCTTCCAATTATTGCAATAAAATTAGTGATAAATAATAATAGTAAAATCTTCCCAAAATTAATTTTAAAGTAAATTTTTCAAATAAATAATTTAAAAGGTTTTAAATAATTGAATTTTGTAAAATTTCATTGAAAATAATTAATTTCTTTTAAGTATTTAAGTATTTCATTATATGAAAAATCAAATTTTTAAAAATGTAATTGAAAATTTTGAAAATATCTACTTAAATTCTTAAAAAATTGAAGTATGAAAAATCAAAAATGAAAATAATGAAAATTTGTTCGAAAAAAGTGTATTAAATTATTTTTTAAAGAACTATCTCTTAAAATTTCTTCATAATTTTTTAAAATACAAGTACTTTCAATATTTTCAATTACTTATTTTCGAAAATTCAAATTTCAAGAATAAAATATATTAAATTTTTTTAAATTATTCAAATTTTGCAGAAATCTATTAATTTTCAAAATTTTTTATTAAAATTCTTTAAAAAAATTGTTTAGTTTTTTGAATTGTTCAAAAATTTTTTTACGAAATCCAACTATTTTCGGAAAATTACACTATATTTTTAATTGAAAATTTTGCAAATAACTGAATTCTTAAAAAATTTAATGAAGAAAAATCTTTAAATGAAAATTAATGAAAATTATTTTGAAAAAATTATATTAAAATATTTTTTTTAAAAAAAGTAATTCTTAGAATTATATTACAATGTTTTAAATAATTAAAATTCTTTATAAAATTAATTAGTTTTTTAAATAGTTCTACAAATTTTTTTAAGAAATTCAATTATTTTCGATATTAATTATTATAAAAATTATTTTAACATATTTTAATATTTCAATTGGAACATTTTTGAAAAGCTAGAATTTTAGTAATAATTTTAGAATTCATTGTAATAATTCAATCATTTTCAAAAAAGAAAATTAATGTTTTTAAAAAATATACTTTTTTAGCCTTATCATTAAAATTTTGAAGTTTTTTTGTTTTTTCGATTTGAAATTAACATCCTTTAAAAACTTGCTTACCTATTTTTTAAAAAATATTTTCCATAAATTCTTTTAAATTCAATTTTTTAATTCAATTATTTTTTTTAAAAATGTTACCAAGTTTTTAAATTGTTGGAGAAATTTTTTAATAAATTCAGTTATTTTCGATATTAATTATTGTAACAATTATTTTAACATATTTTAATATTTCAATTGGAATATTTTTGAAAAACTAATTCTTTCAATTTTTTGTAATAATTTTTGAAAATTCAATTATATTCAGAAAAGTAAATTAAAGTTTTTAAAAAATCTACTTTTTTAGCCTTATTTTATTAGAATTTTGGAAAATTTTCCTTTTTTTCTATTTAAAATTAAAATTCTTCAAAAACTTGATTATTTTTAAAAATATTTTCCATAAATTCTTTTAAATTCAATTATTTTTTAAAAATGTTACTAAATTTCAATTATTTTTCCAAGATTAGTTAAAAATATTCTAAAAAACGAATTTTAACAATTTTTTATTATAATTTATTAAAAATTAAAATATAATTATAAATGAAATTTAAAATGTTTTAAATTAAAATTTTATAAATAATTGAATTTGTAAAGGTTTAAAATTTTTATTTTAAAAATAATTGATTTAGAGAAAGAAATTTAGTTTGAAAAATTTAGAAAATAATTTTGTTTTTGAAGGTTTACACAGTTGAATATTTTAGAAATAATTAAATTTTGAAATTGTAACTTTAATTCTTGCGGGAGAATAAAAAACAAGTATTTAAATATTTATTTGAAAAATTTATTTAATTGTTTAATAATTGAATTTTGCGCCTTAATGTCGATCTAAGACCTGAAAGTGTTTACAAATTTAAAAAAAATAATTTGATGTCTAAAAAAAATTTTTAAAAACCTAAAAAATTTTTTAAGAAATTTAAAAATAAAAACTAGTTCTCAGTTAATTTCATTAATTTTTTTCTTTTTCCAGGTACTTCATTTTTACGTCATTTTGGGCGTATAAAATCTACTACGTTTATGGTTTCATGCTTCTAGTGTTCATTATTCTTATCATAGTCACAGTTTGTGTTACAATTGTATGCACTTATTTCTTGCTAAATGCCGAAGACTACAGATGGTAAGATTTCCAAAATAATTAATATAATAAAGAAAAAAATTTTTAAATTATCATTTTCAATTCAATATAATTTTAATTTTTAAACAAATTAATTTTTAATTATTTTAAAAACAAAAAATTATTCTTTTTAGGCAATGGACAAGTTTCCTAGCAGCAGCTTCCACATCGGGATACGTTTATCTCTATTCGTTTTACTATTTCTTCTTTAAAACGAAGTGAGTAATTTAATTAACTTCGGTTTATGAATTTTATATTTTACTTATATTTTATATTATTATATTATTTATATTTTATATTATTATTTATATTTTATTGTTTTCTTTTTGATTTTTGTGAAATTTTCAAATTTTTAAAAAAATTTATTGAGTGAAATTTGATAAGGAAAATTGATTAATGGATAAAACTACTTATTTTGCAGAATGTACGGACTCTTCCAAACAGCTTTCTATTTTGGTTACATGGCCCTATTCAGTGTGGCTTTGGGCATTATGTGCGGAACTGTTGGTTATATTGGTACCAATACATTCGTCCGCACGATATATTCGACTGTTAAGATAGATTAAGCGTTCGAATTTTTACCAGAGTGTGTAATTTTACTACATACTTTTTTAAAATGATACTTATTCGCGTCATTTGCGACGTTCATCTTTCTTATCTCTCTGAAGGGGATTTAAAAACGATATTAAAAAAAAAATTGCCAATCCTCGATGAAAGAAAACGAAGATTCTTTGATGCGTGATATAGTTATTTTGGTCCACCATTAACGACCTTAAATTTCAAAAACTGTCCATTACACTATTTCTCTTTTTTTTCAAGAAAACAGTATTCAATACTAAACATCATCAATAACTAGTCAATCAATAGAATTTTGAAAGTGGAATTTAAAGTCGTTAAAATTCACTAAAATATTATAAACGAAAAACATCTAAGCTGTACAGTGTTTAATATTTTAGTAATTCATTTAATTTCGATAAAAAAAATAATCATTAGGAATTCCATTTATATAAATATATATGAGAGAAACGAAAGGAAGGAAAGTAAAGAAAGAAGAATGTGTATTTGTGAAAATCGCTCGACGTTGTTTTTTTTTTACTGAAGAAGAAGAAAAAAAAACAGAAGAAAGATGGGAACTTTTTAAAATTAAATATGGTCGCGCAAAATATCAACAATTAGGATGTACAAGATGAGAAAAAAAAGTTTATGTATAGAATGATCTTGTGTGTTAACGTAAACCTCTTGGTTTATTTAAATTGTCAAACGCTGCCTTGTTTGTGAATCCTGCTCTGTCATGACATATAAAGAGCCAAATGAAGTGACGTGGATCTTGCAATTTGATGAATTAAATCGAATTTCGGAATCGAGAAGGTTATATACTATTTATGAGTATTGTGAAGAAGCTGAATGGGGAGAATGGTATAATAAATAATTTATTACAAAATCCATCTCAATTGCTCCATATATTGAAGGTAATATTTTTTTCATATTTTTTTCTCCTTAATTTTTATTATTTTCTTCTTATTTTTTCAGATTTTTTTTTCGAATTTAAAATATTTCTTTATTTTATTTTTTGGAATTAATTTTTAATTAACGAAATATGTTGATTTTTACACAGAAATATTATTTATTATCTTCTTCAATTTTTTTAACATTTTATAAAGTTAAAAAAAAGTTCAAAAAGTTAAATGACTACAATTTTAAATTTTAATAAAAAAAAGATTTTTTTTCTAAAAGTTAGAATTTGCAAAGTTTCTTTCAACTTGGAAGCACAGAATTATCAGGGATTTCAGGAAAGGGTCAGGAAAATCAGGAACTTTTCTTTTAAAATTTAATTTAATTTACCAATTCAAATTTTTTTTTAAATATATGAAAAGTATTAAATTTGTAGAATTTATAAGAAAATTTTTTATTTTAGAGTCTAGCAACTTTTGAAAATATTAAAAAGATTTAATTCTTTTTGTTTTCCTTATAATTGAATATGAAATTGAATCTATTGAAAATAATTTAATTCTTAAAAAACTATCAAATAATTTTACTTAAAAATTTCAAAAATTTATGAAAGTTGTAATCGTAACTCATAAAATTAAATTATTTATAAAATTTTAATTCGAAATTTTTTGTAATTCAATTATTTATTAAAAATTGAATTTAAAACCTTTTGAAATTAATTTATAAAATTTTAATGTGTCATCTTTTCTAATTCAATTATTTATAAAAATTGGAATTTTTCTATTAAAATTTTTATAAATAATTGAATTTTAAAATTGTTAAAATTAAAATTTTTATTTTAAAATAATTGAATTTCAAAAAGTTAAAAATTTAACTTTTGAAATAATTAATGGGCATTTATTGACCGTGTATTATTATAAATAAATAAATTAATTAATTAATTAAATTTCAAAAGGTTTCAAATTCAAATTTTAAAAAATTTGTTTTGCTTCTAATTTTAATTAAAAATATTTTAAACAATAAAACCTTTGAAAAATTTTTATTTAAATTTTTTTGAATATTTATATTTAATTGAAAAATGCTTGAGTAATCGGAATTTCATAAAAGAATTTCTCAAAGAACTTTCTTTGAGAATTGAAAAAAATTATTAATCATTAGAGGAAAATTTTAGTTATAAATTCAAATAATAATTGAAATTAATTCCGAAAATAATTGAATTTCAAAAGGTTTCAGATTGAAATTTTAGTAAGTTTTTTTTAACTTTCACTGAAAATTGAAAAAACTATTAATCATTAGAAGAAAAAATTTAAGTTATAGATTCTAGATAATAATTGAAATTAATTATAAAAATAATTGAATTTTATAAGAATGGCATTTATAATTTTTATAAATAATTGAATTTTAAAAGGTTTCACATTAAAAATTTCCAATAAATAATTGAATTAGAAAAGTTTTCAAATTAAAATTTTACAAATAATTGAATTTTAAATTGTTTAAATTAAAGTTTAATAAATATTTAAATTTTAAAATGTTTAAAATTCAAATTTTATAAATGATTGAGTTTCAAAAAGTTTCAATTGTTATTTTTAAAAATAATTGAATTTAAAAATATTTAAAAGTAAAATTTTATAAATAATTTAATTTAAATAGGTAGAAAAATTTTATTTTAAAAATAATTGAATTTCAAAAAGTTGCAAATTAAAATTTTATAAATAATTGAATTTCAAAAGGTTTCAAATTGAAATTTTAGTAAATTTTTTTTAACTTTCAATGAGAATTATTGAAAAAATTATTAATCATTAGAAGAAAAAATTTAAGTTATAAATTCTAGATAATAATTGAAATTAATTTAAAAAATAATTGAATTTCATAAGAATGTCATTTACAATTCTTGTAAATAATTGAATTTCAAAAGGTTTCACAATAAAAATTTTCAATAAATAATTGAATTAGAAAAGATTTAAAATTAAAATTTTATAAATAATTGAATTTCAAAAGGTTTCAAATTGAAATTTTTTTTTAACTTTCACTGAGAATTGAAAAAATTATTATTAATCATTAGAGGAAAAAATTTAAGTTATAAATTCTAGATAATAATTGAAATTAATTCTAAAAATAATTGAATTTCATAAGAATGGCGTTTACAATTTTTATAAATAATTGAATTTTAAATGTTTTAAATTGAATTCCGATTAAATAACAAAATAATAATTTTTTTTCCATTACAGATATTTGAATTCGCCCGCTATTTGAAAATGACTACGAGAATCAACTGAGAGACTTTAAAGCAGGGTTGGGCGCGTAAAATACCTCAGGTAAATTACGTGGTTTTTTACGGTAAAATACAAGGTAAATTACTTCACTAGTTTTTGACACGAGGTAAATTACTGGAACATAACCTCCAAACTGTCAAACTAATTATTTAAAATTTAAATAAACCGATGAGCAAAGGTGTCAGGCATCGTTATATATCATTATACCCAACATTCTTTAATATTTTCTTGCAAATTAAGGAAGAATCCGACAAACAATCAGATATAATATAATTTTTTGTCAATAATAAACGATTTAAGTAACATAACCTAAAATTTAACAAATGTTTCTTATTGAGATCTGAAAAATTTGTCTTCTTATTTTAAATTACGAAATTATGACATTGGAATAACTTTTATTTTAACTGTACATCAGATTCTTCCTTAATATGTAAGGTGATTCGTGATTTTGTTTAATTTTATGTTTCTGCAACATTGTTGACAACAAAATGTGAGGTTATAAACAATTTCATTTGAACCAGGTAATTTCAATGGAGTTGAAGAAAGCCGGTTTTTCTCAAAAATATCGTTTTTTCTTGCCTTAGACATTGTGTAATAAAACACTTTTTTGTAATAAAAGGTTTTTAAATCTTAAATAATTACAGTGTTATTTAAAAACATAAAAAAATAGGACGTCAAACGGTCAAATTAAAAATAATAATAAGTCCGCCATATTGAACGTGTAATTTACAGTATTTTACAGTTTATTACGTAAAATACCTCGTTTGAGGTATTTTACGTAGAAAACCTAAAGTGACGCGTCACTTCCCATCACTGCTTTAAAGTGGAAAATTGATGGAAATTCGTTTTGAAAAATACTTTTGGAATTATCGCAAATACAACAATTATTGAATGAAGTGCCACATTTACTATTTGGAAAAACAAGAAAATAATAATCTTGTCAACAAGAGGAAAATAATTGAAGACGTTCTAAATTGAGGATTATTGATTACAGTGGTGTTTATTTAATGAAAATCGCACACGTGTATTGTGGATCCAACGAATCAGATGTTGTGCCGGTTTTTCACGTTTGTTTACGGTAATTTTCACTTGAATTTTCCCAACATTCCAACACTATATAATTTGGTGCCACGGTGGCCGTATTACGACAACTGCGACGGCGCATTGAAAGGAATTCCTGGTTGACGTTGGCAGAACGTTTTCGGAGTAGGGGATAAAAAAGAAAAAGGTGCTGCTTTGCTTCCACGCTGTGTGTGACAACGAGACGCTAGAATTTTGTCGTCCGCTAACTTCTGACATATCAACTCTCTTTCTGTCATTATAACAATTCACATTCCAAGTGCCAATTCATTTATAAAATTCTACAATAATTAGACAAAAGGAATAATGGCTCCAAAGCAAAGGATGCGTATCGCCAACGAAAAGGCTACCAAGAATATCACCCAACGAGGAAATGTTCCTAAATCAACGGTGAGTTTTTTTTATGGTTTTACACTTAATTTTCATGGTTTTTTTTACTTTTTTCTTTTGAAATTCAATGGTTTTTTGGGGGTAAATATTATTATTCGGTTCAATTTGGGAAAATTGTCAATATTTACAGGGGAATTTTGAATTGTTTCGATTTAATTTTAGGTTATAATTCTTACCATCTGGAACGTTTGTTATCCGCTTTAGAATTAATAATTAATACTTTTACGTAGATTTTTGATAATTTGAAAGTTTTTACGAATTTTTTTAAGGTTTTTATTTTTAATATTAATATTATTATGTCAATATTTTTATTATTTATAATATTGTTAATAATTTTCGTTTTTTCAGAAAGTGCAGAATGAATCGTCTCCTGTTGGTCCTTGGCTTTTGGGTCTTTTTGTCTTTGTCGTATGTGGTTCCGGTATGTCCAGATATTTTTTATTCTTTATTTCATTCATAATTATTGCATTTTTTTAATTTTTAAGAATTCGCGGGTCTTTTTTGAAAATATGACAATTTTCTTGTAATTATTTACCGAACGGGATTTTTTTTTGTAATAAAAGCTGTTTTTGTACTGTATAGAAAACTTTTAATTTTTGTACAGTACGGACAGTTTTTATATTGAATTGGAAACATTTTCAAAAACATTACATTTTTTCATATTTTGATTTTTTTTAATTTTATAATTTTTTTTTGCGCGGTACATTTTTAATTCGGCAGTTAAACTTATCGATGATTTCTTTTTCTATACGTGAATTATTTTTATTGCTTTTTTATCTTTTTTAAAATTGCAATTCAATTCAAATTCGTCGAAAAAATTCAATTATTTAAAAATTTGTTGATAAAATTCTTTACGAGAATTCAATTTTGAGAAACATTCATTTATTCAATAATTTTTCCATTTTTGTATTTAAATAATTGAATTCTCGTAGAATTTTCTAATAAAAATTGTTTTAAAAATGAATTTCAGTTAATTTTTTAGATAATAATTGAATATTGTATTCTAAATAAATATTAAAAGCGTTATAGCATAAATTTTAGTAATAATTGAATTTTGAAAAGATTTCAAATTAAAATCTTTGAAAACTTGAATTTTTCATATTTTTAACTAACAATTCTGTAGAATTAATTTTTTTGAAAAAGTTTAATTGAATTTCTTTTAAGATTATTTGAAATTTTCATTTTCTAAATTTTTAATTAAAGAATTTTCCGAATAATCAAAATTTTGTAAAACTGAATTGTTAGCAAATGGATTTGGAAATTCTCTAGAATTCTTCTTTCGGAGAATTTACTTAAAATTGTATTAAAAATAATTGAAATCCTGCGAAAAATTTTATTATTTAGGAAAATAATTGAAGTCTTGCAACGAATTTTTATTATATTTTCTTTAAATAATTGAAATCCTGTGAAGAATATTATTATTTATGAAAATAATTGAATTTTGCAAAGAAAATTATTACATTTCTTCTAAATAATTGAAATCCTGTGAAGAATTTTATTATTTGTGAAAATAATTGAATTCTTTTGAGAATTTTTTATTAAAAAAGGAGATTTTGAAAATATTTGAATTTCAGCAAAGAATTTCATTATTTGTGAAATGTAATTGAATTCTCGCAAGAAATGTTTGAAAATAATTAAATTTTTCGAGGAATTCATTTACAGTTGTATTAAAAATAATTTAAATTTTATGAAAAATTTTATTATTTATAATAATTGAATTCTTACAACGAATTTTATTACATTTTTTGAATAATTGAATTGATGTGAAAAATAGTAATATTAATAAAAATAATTGAATTCTTGCGAAGGATTTTATTAAAATTTTTGTAAATAATTTAATTTTTTTATAAAAATTGTATTATTTTTATTATTTTTCTTTAAATTGTAATTCAAACGGTTTATTTATTTTAATAACAAATAAATGAAAAACTTGAAAAAAATGACAAGATAAATAAATATTCAGTATTTTTTTAATAGTTCGATTCCGTTTATTTTCACAATAAACGTAAATTTTGAAAAAAAAATGTTACAAGCGAAATTATTAAAATAAATTGCTTTTTATTTGATGAAGAAAATAACCTCAAGTTTAGTAAACGTAATGTAAACATTATTGGTTAATATTGGGAAATATTATTTACAAATGTTTTAAATTATTGCTTTGTAGGAATGTTGTTGAAATTAATTTGGATATGAAATGGAAACAGTTTTTTTTTATCACTAATTCGTGTGTAGATATCAATGCAAATATTTGTTCATATGGTAGAAAAAAGAAAAGAAAAGAAAGACAAAAATTAAAATATTCAAAAAATTAGTTATAAATTTTAATTATATTTTTTTCGTTTAATTTTTGTTTTTTTCATTTCGGTTTCATCGACAATGGATTTTTTTCTGTTTAATATGCTAAAATATTTTATATTTAATTTTTTATGTAAATCTAATAGATTTATGTATTGAATATAAAATTTCGAACTTTAGATTAAACAAAAAAATACATTTAAAAATGTATGTGTGCTTAAAAGTGTGTATGTGATCTGGCTTATTTTTTTCTTGAGAAGATGCAAATTTTGAATGGATTTTTTTCCGCCTCAAAAAGACGGAATTTTCTGAATGGAAACGAAGAGAGAAATTTCAAAGAAATCAAGTTTTTTTTTACTGTAAGAGTCATTCCATTATATTTCGACTAAAGTCGTTGCTGACTAATTTTAAAAAATTATAATATTTTGCAGGAATGATGTTAAAGATATTAGGATCACCGAACAAAAAGAATTTTTTAAATATTTTTTATATTTATTGTAAAATAAGCATCTAAAGTATATGAAGTCGTAAAAACTGTCACATTTTCATCTATTAGAAAATATTAAAGAAAACACATAATTTACTATAAAAATGTAAAAAAGTTATAAGAATTTATTAAGAATGAATTGTTTTATTATTATAAATTGATAGAAACAATTATTAATAAGAAATATTAAATAAAAAAGGATTTTAAAGTTCACCTGCCAAATAACCTAATTTTGCAAATTTCATTCACTAAATGTGAGAAAGAGAAATCATTAAATTGAATAAAACCTTATGAAATATAAAGAACCTGTGATTAACTTTTAGTTTTTCTTATCACTTTCTTCCTTTTTTCTTCATAAATGTTAAAAAATAAGCAATTAAAACTGGCACTTTGCTTATTTTCACGATTTTAAAATGCAAATAACTTCTGCCCAGAAAAATGAAAAATTACGAAAATTGGACAATAATTATTTGATCACTAAATACACTCACTGGAAAAAGATTTTCTTTGGTCCCGAAGCTATTTTCCGAAATAATTAATTTTAAACTTTTCACTATTTCTATCAGGTTAATACATGTGATTTTTTTAAAACTGAAGTTGGTTCAAAACGATTAAACAAGAAGAGCTAACTTCGTCCTTTAAAAAACACATGTATTAACCTGATAAAAATAGTAAAAAGTTTAAAGTTAATGAATTCGGAAAATAGCTTCGGGACCAAAGAAAATCTTTTTCCAGTGAGTGTATCTAGTGATCAAATAATTATTGCCCAATTTTCGTAATTTGTCATTTTTCTGGGCAGAAGTTATTTGCATTTTAAAATCGTGAAAATAAGCAAAGTGCCAGTTTTAATTGCTTATTTTTTAACATTTATGAAGAAAAAAGGAAGAAAGTGATAAGAAAAACTAAAAGTTAATCACAGGTACTTTATATTTCATAAGGTTTTATTTAATTTAATGATTTCTCTTTCTCACATTTAGTGAATGAAATTTGCAAAATTAGGTTATTTGGCAGGTGAACTTAAAAATCCTTTTTTATTTAATATTTCTTATTAATAATTGTTTCTATCAATTTATAATAATAAAACAATTCTTTCTTAATAAATTCTTATAACTTTTTTACATTTTTATAGTAAATTATGTGTTTTCTTTAATATTTTCTAATAGATGAAAATGTGACAGTTTTTACGACTTCATATACTTTAGATGCTTATTTTACAATAAATATAAAAAATATTTAAAAAATTCTTTTTGTTCGGTGATCCTAATATCTTTAACATCATTCCTGCAAAATATTATAATTTTTTAAAATTAGTCAGCAACGACTTTAGTCGAAATATAATGGAATGACTCGTAAGTATTTATTTTCGGAAAATAATTTTTTACCCTTTTATTATTATTCGTTTCTACAAACAAAAATTGAAAAATTATCGAATGAATTGAACGCATGTTTTAAATTTTATATGGTTTTCTTTTTATCTCGTCTAATAAAATTTTTTTATTTTTCAGCCGTTTTTCAAATAATCCAAAGTATACGAATGGGCTAAACAGAAGGAGGAGGGGAGAAAATCATAATTTATAATTAATAAGGAAAATCTACCAACTCATATTGAACATCATCAGTTTTTTTTGTTTTCAACAATTGAACGATGAATTGACCTTCGGATATTTTGAATTCAAGATGACGCTCAAAGAGCTCGAATATTATTGGGCCATCAAATCCTCCAATGAGTCTTGTGATACTAGAAAATTAGAGGATTTTGCAATAATTCTTCCTCGTTCGGCTCAAAGATTTTATTTATGAAAAAATAAAAAAAAATCTTCGCATTTAATAAGCGTTTAAATATAGTATAAAAAAATGAGAAAAATGAAACTATTTTAGTCTCAATCACAATTTAATCGTCGATGAATGAAACTTAAGTTTTCATTAAAAAAAAGCAATAACAATGTCCAAAGCACTAAAAAATTGAAAATATTAACTTTTTACATGTAGATTTTCCTTTATTCACAATATTGAACAGTTTTTTTGTCAACTTTTTTTGAAAACATTCCAGATTCTTCCATCGACGTTTCATCTATAAGATAATTTGTATATAATAATTATTGAATATAATATTGTATTTTCATTCATCTATGGCATTCCATTATAAACTGATGATCTTTGATCAATAGATAAGGAACGCTTATACTCTTAACGCTCTAAATAAACTATTCTGTAATAATAATAATTGAAAATATATTTACATACAACATTTATCATTGAAATAAATAAATTATACTGATATACAGAATTTTTTTTTATTCCTAATTTATTATTTATTTCAGTGAAAAGTGAAGGAAAGGGATTTATTTAGTGTTTTATTTCGAAAATCAGGAATTATTTTGTTTAAGAAAAAAATAGTGAGTAAATATTATTTAATGTTATTGTTTAAGACTTTTATATTTTTGTTTAAAGCGTTTAACATTAGGAAATATTGAATTGTAATTATAAAATATTTTTTAATTATGAAATAAGCTGAAAATTGTAACTACCGAGTCTTGAAAATTTTTAATAATCTATAATTGTTATTGTTAAATTATCGTTAATCAGAATTTTAAAAAAATTAAAAATCTCTAAAAGTTTCTTAAATTTTGGAGATTTTTTATTTTTGTACAATTAACAATCTTATAATTTATTTATATTTATTTATTGTTTCTTTAAATTTAGTTTCTAATTTTTATCGATTTCTAATTATAATTTTGAATTTCCATAGATTTTTTAATGTTTAATTTATAATTTTAATTTTTATTTTATATTGATTTTTTAATTTTTAATTTCTATCGATTGCTAATTTTAATTTTAAATTTCCATTGATTTCTTAAATTTTGTTTTTAATTTCCAATTTTAATTTTGAATTTTTATTTAATTTTAAATTTAAATCATTTTTTAATTTTTATTTGAAAATTTTTATTAACTTTCTCTTGTTAGTTTTTAATTTCAATCGATTTCTAATTTTAATTTTTAATTTTAATTATAAATTTCTACTGATTTTTTAAATTTTAGTTTTTAATTTCCAATTTTAATTAATTTTTTAATTTCATTATTTAATTTTAATCGTTTTCTAATTTTTATATTTAAAAATTTTTATTAACTTCTACATATTAGTTTTTAATTTCTATCAGTTTCTAATTTTAATTTTGAATTTTATTGATTTTTTAATATTAGTTTTTAATTTCCAATTTTAATTTTGAATTTTTATTAATTTTATAATTTGATATTTTAATTTCTATCATTTTATAATTTTGATTTAAAATTTTTATTAACTTTTTCATGTTAGTTTTCAATTTCTATCGAATTTTAATTTTAATTTTTATTGATTTTCTAATTTTATTTTCATGCTTAGTGGCCAAAAGGCTAAATTGACATTTTGCTAAACCACGCACAGCAAAACTGTTTTACCGACTGAGTGTTTCGAACCTAACCTCTTACTGTGTAAAATTTTAATTTAGCGATTTAGCGAAATGGCAATTTAGTCTTTTGGCCACCAAGCGATTTTCAATTTCTATAGATTTTTAATTTAAGTTTCGAATTTCTGTTAATTTTTTAATTATTGTTTTTAATTTCCATCATTTCTATCGATTTTTAATTTTATTTTTGAATTTTTACTGAATTTATATTTCATTTATTTTGTTTTTATTCAAAAAATTACTTGCGATTGATTATGAAGAAATCTTTTTTTTTTAGTTACCGACGGAGGGTAAATGTGGATAAATGTTTCCACTCTCGACCGCTAGGGGGACGCGACTTAGAGGCGCACGCAGCGCCATATGATCATTGAGTCCCCGGAGCTTCCCTGTGAAGGTAAGTGCAACTTTACATTGAAATCCTTTCATTGCAAAGCAATCGTTGCATTATTTTGCATCTTTCAGCCACCGTTCTCTTTGGTTATTAATATTTTATTGTTTTTTCCAGTTATTTCGACAGAAACTTTTTTCGAATCCATTTTAATGCGCAGGCAAACAAAGTTCATTCTTCATTGTGAGAACGATGCGCGCGCAGCATTCAGCCCCTGGACTTCCATGATGTAAGTGCTATTTTTTTGTTAAAAAACATAAAAGATTGGTACTGCAAAACAATTATTGTATTGTTTTATTGTTTCCAGTCCTCTTTGTCTTGTGCTATTAATATTTTATTGTTTTTATTGGCAAATTTCTTGACACGAATAACATTCATTGTCAGAACAGTGCTTACGCATCAATTTTCATTTTTAATTTCATTTCCTAACTAATTTCGCAGGGAATATGAAATTAAAATCTTCGGAAAATAAAAATTGTTGTATAAACATTGTTCCAACAATGTATTTTGTTTGTTTTTAGGGTTTTTAGTGCAAAATTGGAGCAAAGAGTTTCAGTGGCGCCATCTATGAGTTTGTAGTTCAACTAACAATGCAAACTCTGACTTTCCTATTGGTAATTACCGACATTGAAGTTGGACTACAAACTAGTAGATGTCGCTAGTAAAGTTGACAGTAATGACTGATGAATAATGCATTTTATTTCGCTGTAGCATTTCATGAATAATTTTCCTGTTTTATATTCGAGTCTAAAAGAAAATTGAGCTCTTGGTTCGCGAGTTGGTTTTTAACAATTATTGAGATTCTTTTGTTTTATTATGTACGTATTTTCTAACAATAAAATTCAGTGGAGTGCAATTGTTACGCGCAACGTTTTGCATTAAAATTTTGAGGTTAAGTTGGCGCTCGATTGCAGATTGAAATATAGAATTTTCTCTGCAAATTATGGTTTTGGTAGGTAATATTTGTGGGGATGGGGAAAATATATTTTCGAAACGTTTGCTGTAATGCGCAGTAATACATTTCCGCCATCTTTGATGGACGAGTCTATAATTTTCGTGTTTCGTCAAAACAGTGCAGAAGTCGTGAAAAACTAGGGCAGAAAAATTTTCAATTCCCTTATCTTTTCTACTTGTAATAATACTTTTTGAGGTTGCAATTATTTTCTAGTATTATCAAAATCATATAGTAAAACTTAATTAATAAAAAATATATGAACAAAAAGTCGCAACGTTTCGATTCAAAAATGACGTATCAACCTAACCTTAAAATTGTAATTGTAAATACAAGCAATTTACAAAAAATTGCAACAATAGTTTAGATGAAAAAAATTCTTCTCAACCTAACCTCAAAATTTCAATCGCAAATACAATCGAAATTGTTTGAAATTAATTATTTCAAGACTAAAGTATTTTTAACTTTTTTACAAGCACAAAGAGCAAAATTCTTTCGAATTAATTCTTCTAAATCAACTTTTTGAAAATTAAAACATTTTTTAACTTGTAAAAATAAATAAATGGAAGAAAATTTTTGGAAATTAATTTAGAAACAATTAAATTAAAATAGTTGGAATTAATTTTATTATAAATTAACTTTTTCAAATAATTTTGTAATAAAAGCAAAATTTTTGTTATATTAATTTTTTTTAAATCCATATCTTGAAATAATTTGGTAATTTTTTTTTCTTTTTATTTTCCAGAATTAATATTTAAATACCAGTAATCGGAAATAAGAAAGATCAGAAAGAAGAAATAAGGACAAATGTTTTTTCAATATTCATACAAACAGAAAAGGGATTCTTGACTCGGAGGAAATTTAGATAACAAAGGAGCGAAGCGATGAGACTATTTATTCATTTTGTAAAAATCAGCGAATGGTGAGTGATTATTAATTAGTAATTTAATATATTTTCAAATAGTCTTGAATTAAATTTCTGCATAACTGACAAACGAATTGTTACCAACTAGTGTCGGTAAAATTGTTCCCTACAAGGTAATAGTAGAATTACCGATCGAAAAAAAACCACCTGTGATAAGGTAGATTCCAAATGATAAATTAAGAAAAAATCTTTTGGTAACAATGTTTTTCACAAAATATTTTTTACACAATCTATTGATTTTCTCGGCTTTGATAAATTTAACAATATATTAAAATTAACGGAATGAAAGATCAATTCAATTATGTAAATATATAATTAAATTGTTATTAATTAAATAATTAAAAGTTAAATATAATATTAAAATTGGATGAAAGAAAAATCAACTTTTATGAAATTATTAAATTGAATAATTAAAAGTTGAACATTTATTAAATAAATATCGGGGTTACCACAGGTCTAAAAAATTCCATTTTATTAAAAAAATTTTTTAATATAATATTAATAAATATTCAATTATTTTTAAAAGAATAAAATTTTTTACAGAAATTCAATTATTTACAAATTTTTTTTTATAAATTTCTTCGTATTATTTTCATGAGTAATAAAAAGTACACAGGAATTCAATTATTTACGTTTTTTTTATAAATTTCTTGACAATATTTCAATTATTTTCATAAACAAAAAATTTTTCCAGGGATTCAATTATTTTCATAAATAATAAAATTCATTGAAGAATTAAAATTTATTTTTAATACAATTTTAATTCAATTCCTGGAAAAATGTAATTATTCCTAAAATTCAATTATTCAATAAATTATTTATTTTTGTATTTAAATAATTGAATTCTCGTAGAATTTTCTAATAAAAATTGATTTAAAAATTAATTTTAGTTAACATTTTTGGTACTAATTGAATATTAAAAACATTATAGCATGAATTTTTAGAAATTGAATTTTGATAAGATTTCAAATTAAAATCTTTATAAATTTGACTTATTCAAAACTCATTGAAGAATTTCATTTACTTTTAACACAATTTTAATTGAATTCCTGGAAAAATGTCATTATTCCTAAAATTTTTATTAAATTTCGTCGAAAGAATTCAATTATATTTAAAAATTTGTTAATAAAATTCTTTATGAGAATTCAATTTTAAGAAAAATTTAATTATTCAATAAATATTATTTATTTTTGTGTTTTGAAAAAAGGTTTCAAATTAAAATCTTTGGAAATTTGAATTTTTCATACATTTAACTAACAATTCTGTAGAATTAATTTTTTTGTAAAAAGTTTTATTGAATTTGTTTAAAAATTATTTGAAGTTTTTATTTTCTAATATATATATTTAATTAAAGAATTTCCGAATAATCAAAATTTTATAAACTTGAATTAAAATTGAAATGAATTTGAAAATTCTAAAATAACTTTTTCAAAAATTATTAAAAATAATTGATTTAGAGAAGAATTTTAGTTAAAAATTTTATAAAACATGAAGAATTGATCACTTTACGTTGAAGACTTGGCGAGTAATCGATATCTTTATGTTTTATAATAAATATTCTTATGAGTTG